TGGGCCCGGGGCCCCAGGGCTGCAGCCTCCTGCAGGAGGCAGTGGTTGCTGCAGCAGAGCATAGCCTGGCCTGTCCCCCCTCCCCATTGCCTGCTGAGGGCTCAAGTGGAGGAGGGGGGCGGGGGACCGGTGCCCTCAGATCTGTATACAGGGTGGGGGTATGCTGTGGGCTTACGCTCCCACCCTGCTGCCCTCCCCTAGGGCACTTGCAGCACGGCAGGTGTGACCTGGCACTGCAGGGCAGAGTGGGGCCATGCAGGAAAGCTGCTTACCACTGCAAGCTCTGCACTGCACTGGTGAGACAACCCCTGAGTGAGGAGCACAACTCTGCGCTGCCACCCCCACTGCTGCTGCACAGGCAGGAGATGCATTGCGAGGGCAGCATGGAGTTCTCAGCGGCGAGCAGCTTCCTGCACAGCCTTGCTCTGTGCTGCAGCTCCTGGTTACACCCACTAGGCTGTGGAGCCCCCTGGGGATGGCAGCGGGGTGGGGAGCAGGCAATGTGCACCCACCCCCACCCTGTGCACAGATCTGGGGGGCACAGTTCCTTCCCCTTGCGAGCATCAGTGGGGAGCCAGCCACATGCATGCTGTCCGCTGCCCCCACCCCCCCTGACCAGCCACCCATGGCTAAGTCCTGCTCCCTGCCAGGGCCCTGTGGCTGCATGTTGCAGCCCCAAGCCCCAGGCACTGCCCAGTTCCCTCCCTCCCTATGGTGGGCCTCCATCCCCTCCCCCACCCCACACTTACCTGTGCGAGCTGCTGTCCAGACTGCCTGCTGGTCATGTGCGTATACATGTAAATGGCACCCACTCCCACTAGCCCCCTGCAGGTTGGAACTCTGCCAGCCTGCAGAGAGCTCTTTGCAAAAGAGCAAAATCTGCGTTTTACTTTGGTAAAGGGGGAAATCTGCAATTTGCTCCACTTTTCCATGGGAAACAGAAAACCCGGATCTCTGCTGATAACTTTCAGGCATCCTGCTACCCAGTGGAATTTCTAACCCCAGGTTAGATGCCAGAACCCATTTGGGGCAGAGGAAGGGAGTATTACCTAAGAATAGGATCCTCAAAAACCAGTAGACTGAGCAGGAATTGCAGAAGCTATCTATTAAAAATACTGATGGGTAAGGTATGGTTTAAGGCCTGTTCTTCAAGACAGCTTATGTACCTCCTTTAGTTTAAATTGGGTGCATCTCTCTGCTCAGTGTTCACAAAAATGAACCTTCTCAAGCTAGATACTTGAGCCAGGTCAGTTGTCTCTTTTTTGCAACTTAAAACCAGGAGGAGGTGGTGTTCTTGGCCCTTTATCCAGTAGGCTAAAACTAGGGCACTCTCCAGGGGCACAGGGCATTTTAAGTTGAGGTCCTTCTGCCTGATTTGGAGCATTAATTTGAACTGGTGTCTAATCTCTTGAGTAGTGCTGCAACTGCTGAGTTACACATTCTGGAGTGTCTTGGTCTGTTGTTGCGAAGCAGAACCAGTTTGTGTGCATATTTTATATAACTGGAGCAGACTTAACCCTAATTGCATCCAACAGACAGTGAAATAAGACCACCCTGGAATACACTATAGGCCAGCAGTTAGGGCATTTTCCTGGGATGTGGAAAACCTGGATTAAAATTCCTGCTCTGAATTAAGCAGAAGGCAGACCTGACCATGGGGTTAGCCAAGTTCTCTAGCCAGTGAAATACTTGAAGCAAATTGGGGTTCCACCCTTACCTTGTGCTCTGCAACCACCAGCAGATCTTGGGCAAAGCAGGTGAGATAAGTGAGGGAATGTTCTGTCAGTCCCTGTGGGGCTTTAGTGTGTCATGGACATGAATTGCTGTCCTATCATCAAGACTTTGAATAGTTCTGTGCAAGTACATTATATAGAGATCTGAGTCCTAATTTTGAAGTTTCCAATTGGTAGTGACAAGTACTGAAGGTTTTGGGAATCTAATTCCTGCTTCTTCCCACATTCCTTTTAGCACTTTCTATATCAAGAATAAACCTACAGTTTCATACGTAGTTCTACACTGGGCTCGCTCTCAAAAAAACAAAACAAAACAAAAAAAACGAATTTGTCTTTAATAAAGCAGCACTTGTATAGTAGCTTCCTGGGAAAAATAGTGGAGTGTGCTCGGATCAAAAGGATATACAATACTGATGAGTTTTGTGTCTCTCTACTTTTTAAGAGTTTGCTCTCCAAAGCTCAAGGAATGGGCTCTAGCTCAGTTAAGCTCCGTGTTGGATCTCTCTTCATGAACGTTGGGAAATCAGAAAAACATGATCCTGATATCAGACAGACGCCTCATGTGAACATTAATCCTTTCACTCCTGACTCTCTGTTCCTTCACACTTCAGACGGACAAAGTCGCAGAAGAAAAAGAACATACTGGAATGAGTGAGTTGCTCAAATCCCTTCTGTTACTTAAGATTGTTTTAATTTTTTTGTTGTAAAAGTTGTCATTTGCAAAATGTTAAATGCATTCAGAAGCTACGTTTTCTTAATAATGCTAGCCAGTTTGAAGGTGAGTAACTGCCAGAAATATGTGTTATGAGTTGGTCTGTGCTACAGTGGGCATGTACCAGCAGTAATGTAACTGGGGGCAGGGGGGACAACGGATTACTGGGGCAACAGTCCTGGGTACCACATTTTATTGAGGGAAGGGCCACTGGCAGTTCATCAGCAGCCAGCACCATGTGATGTGCCAAAGCTGCTGCTGTTCCTCTGTGTACCAGTCCTTGGATCAGAAGCAGTTACATTTTATCTTAATTTAGAATCATAGAACCATAGAAAGTTAAGGTTGGAAGGGACCGCAGGAGGTCATCTAGTTCAACCCCCTGCTCAAAGCAGGACCAGCCCCAACTAGATCATTCCAGCCAAAGCTTTGTCTAGCCAGGTCTTAAACACCTCCAAGGATGGAGATTCCACTGCCTCTGGGTAACCTGTTCCAGTGTTTTACTACCTTCCTAGTGAGAAAATTCTTCCTAATATCTAACTTAAACTTCCCCTGCTGCAACTTGACTGTTGCTCCTTGTTCTCTTACCTGCCACCACTGAGAAAAGTCTAGCACCATCTTCTTTTGAACCCCCCTTCAGGTAGTTGAAGACTGCTATTAAGTCTCCTCCTCTTCTCTAGACTAAATAAGCCCAGTTCCCTCAGTCTTTCCTCATAAGCAGGGATCCTCATTTTTCCTGATCTAAAAAAATTGCAAATTCTCTGGCTTAAGTTGCAAAATCTGTAATTAAAATTAAAGCCGCCCCCTCCCCCCTGCCTTGCTGGAGGGGGTCCCCAGCTGCCAGAGCTATGGGGCCAGGGACCCAGGTCCACAGCCCCCTGCCCCTGACAGAAGGTGGCTGCTCTAGGAGAAGGAGCCTATGTCATGTCCTGTGTCATTGTTGTCCGTCCATCTCCCCTCCCCCAACTGCCTGCTTGGGGCAGGGGTTGGGCTGGCTCCTGGCTGCAGCACACACTCCTGGGGGGGCAGGCAAGGACTGACGACACATGCCTTGCACACGCAGGCAGCAGTGAGGGGCACAGCGGAAGTGTTGCCAGGGCAGCGTGGAGCTCACAGGGACAAGCAGCTTTCTTGTGTGGCCCTGCTGCACTATGGAGGGCAGGGAGCATGAGCCCACAGCACACGCTCGCCCCACTCCCCACACAAACCTGGGGGGCATGAGTCTCTCCCTGCCCACTGGGAGTGCGTATTAGGGTGGGGAGCCAGTCCTGCCCCCAAACAAGCCACCTACAGCCTTGTCCTGCTCCCTGCCCAGGTTCTGAGGCTGCGCACGTTGCCCAGCAGGGCAGCAGCCCTAGCCCTGCCCAACTCCCTTCCTATGGGCGCTGTCTCCCCCCCACCTGCAGGAGCTGCTGTGCAGGCTGCCTAGGGCCATGTGCATGTACTTGGTGCCCCTTGCCTGACTGCCCTGTTCCTGCTCCCTCCAAGCCCCCTGCAGGCTGGAACAGCCCTGCAGGCTGGAACTGCCAGCCTGCAGAGGGCTCACTGCAAAACTACAAAATCCATGGGTTTCTCTGCTAAAATGAGAAATCTACCTTTTACTCTAGTAAAAGGGGAAATCCGTGGTTTACTCCTTTTTTTTCCTCTGGGAAATGGGAAAACCTGAATTCCTGCTCATAAGTCATGTCCCCCAGCCCCTTCACAACTTTTGTTGCCCTCTGCTGGAAACATTCAGTAGGGCAAAGTATCTTTCTTTTAATGGCTTTATGTAGTAAACTTGGCTTCTGCTTGTCTTACTCCAGTTGTTGAAAGAAACAGTTTAAGAGGCTCAATAATGAATGTACTTTTATATTTAAAATAATATTTTCAGCTCTTGTGGGGAGGACATGGAAGCAAGTGATTGTGAGCTTGAGGATGAAACTATCAGGCCTGCTAAGGTAAAACACTTTTTACTACATTTGCATTTAGTTGGGTAATGTGTATATCTGCACTTCTGAATCTTTCCTTTTTAATCATTGCAGAGAATCACAATTACTGAAAGTAATATGAAGTCACGGTATGCAACAGAATTTCATGAGCTGGAGAAGATTGGGTCTGGAGAATTTGGTTCTGTGTTTAAATGTGTAAAAAGGCTGGATGGCTGTATCTACGCTATAAAACGGTCCAAGAAGCCGTTGGCTGGCTCAGTTGATGAGTGAGTGTTTTATTTCAAGAAAATGTTACTGCCAACTATTTTGGTAGTTCTTTATGCCTTTTAACTCCTACATGACATCTGTGTGCACACATTCAAAATGAGCATAGACCCAAAAATATTTTCTTGTTTTAGAACTAGCATTTTAAAATAGAAATTACTTTGTTTTCACTATGCTTAAAGATTAGGTCTCATGCTGTATGTCACAATCTGGGACAAGATGCATCAGCTTTAGTCCCATGTCTGCCATAGGTATCCTTTTGAGCAAGTTACTCAACCTGTAAAATGGGGATAATGCTTGCTTGTTAATCAAGGAAGTTTTTAGTTCAACTTGATGTCTGTAAAGCACATTGATCTTTTGAAAACAAAGCATTGTAAGAATGTAAAATGTTCAACCAAATATGCTATGTGTAACATGAATGATTGTACAAACTACCATATTTTATGGTGTATAAGTTGAGTTTTGAAGGTGGAGAGGCTCCTCAATGGGAAGGATCATCCCCCCTTACCCTTACCCTTGTGTCTTTTAAAGAGGGCTCCTGAAGTCAGCAGGACAACTAGTGCCACCAAGGAAGGGGCTGGTGTGCCAGGCAGCCCCTGAGCTGCTGCAGAGGGGGAGGGGGTCCCTTTCTCAGCAGTGGTGCCCTCTGGGGCTGGCCAGGTGGGTCAGGTGCTGCCTGAGCTCACGGGACCCAATGCAACTTCCTAGGAGCCCGCTAGCACGTCACCTCTCCCATGAGCCCACCTGGGCTTCCAGTCCCCCCACAGAGGTGGGGTTGATTTGTACAATGGATCTACAAAAATTCTACCTCTCTTTTTTTGTGCAGAAACATGGGGTTGACTTATGCTGTTTGTTGTCCTATATGCTATAAAATACGGTAGTTGAAGAGGTGGTTTCCCTTTTTGCTGTTTGTGCACAAGTTCACAGGATTGATTATTGAAAAGTAAACTTACAGTAGTGCATGTGAGCATCAGAACATAATTATTTTTATGTAGCCTCTACATGCTTCATTTCTTTCTTCTAAAATTTACCATTTGGGTTAAAAAAGAGGCTTTGTTTCAGAAAAAAATTAATGAATACATTTTGGTTGCAATTTTTAAAGGCTAGATGCTAATAATGGTGTTTTCAAAGTACTATGACTTTTTGCAGGCACTTTGAGCATTTTTACCTTGCTGTTAGTGAGGAAGTGCCATTTTAGTTTACAACAAAAACTTGGATGCTACCAGTACCCAAGCATTTAATTTTATTTTACAGTGTAAACAAATTTTAAAGTTAAATTCTCCATCACATTGATGTCTGTATGAAGGCAATTTAAGGCATCACACTACTACATTTTGTTGAAGGCTCTACATTTGACTAAAAGACTCTAGCCTTGAGGTTATACAGTAACCTCGTAAGTCCAGGATGCTCAGGAATGAGCACCTGCCAGAAATATGAAAATTCCAGATTTTTTTAAATGAGCGGTGGCCGGTGGTTGAGCGGGGCGGGGGGGGCAACAGCTGGTTCTGAAGCAGCGGCTGCATGTGGAGCGGCGGCGCACGGTGGTAGATGGCGGCAGCAGCCTGGGGGGGGAGAGGGCGCCGCCAGCCGCTTTGTGCAAGCTTCCCTCTGCGCTGCTCCGGGACCAGTTGCTGCTACTCCTCAGTCTAGTGTGTTCTTAAAAAGTGCTGGATTTTTGAGAATTCAGGATTTTTGATAACCTCATATATCTGGATATACTGTAGTAGTGAGGTAAGCATTCCCTTTCACTGGTGCAGAATTTCTTGATGATAAAGCTAGTGTTTGAGTCTTGCATATTAGTTTTTCAAGCCACTTGCCGATTAGCATGGCTACTACCTTAAAGGCATGCGAACAATAATAAGAGATTATAGGTAACAACTTCTAATAATTGGACTAAATTTAATTTCAGGACACTGCTAAATATTCACTTCTTTTTTGTGTATAACAGGCAAAATGCTTTAAGAGAGGTTTATGCACATGCAGTTTTGGGACAGCATTCTCATGTAGTGAGATACTACTCTGCATGGGCAGAAGATGATCACATGCTTATACAGAATGAGTATTGTAATGGTAAGCAAAACTTGTTATTAACTTGTTTTGAATCCCTGGTCTTCAGAAGTTGCCTGCCGGATTTGGAAGGTAGATGGAAATACCCATACTCTCCCAGGGATAAGCTTGTAGGGGATGGCAGTGGTTGATTATTGTCCATGGTCATCAAATGTGAAAGAGAGTTGTGTGGGTTGTAGAAGGAAGGTATAGCAAGTTAGTTGTGCAAAGCAAAAAGATTTATTTTGCAAAATGTAAGCCTGAGCCCAGTGGCTGTTGCACACTCCCTAACTCGGGGGCGGGCAATTATTTCAGTTGGAGGGTTGCTTAATGAGTTTTTTTGGGGGGAGGGCCAAAAGGGTAGCTCTACCCCTTGGCAAGTCTTCCACTCCCTGGTCACCATCTTGGGACCAGAAGTCCTGCCCCAACCTCTGACCTTTTGCCACCAGAAGTCCCTTTCTTTGCCCAGGAAGTACTCCTGGGGGTGTGCCATCTTGGAACTGGGGGAAAAAAAAACAAATCATACTAAAAATCAAACCGCTACTATAACACACTTTATTTTTGTTTCCAAAAACTTTTGTTCTGATTTGTGTGTTTAGCCTGGTGTATACAGAGGCAATTGCTTAACAGCTCAAAATAAAAATTTTACTCTTGTATAATGTGTGGGATGTGTGTGGTTGGGGAAGGTATATATGGAGGGGAGTGGGAAGGCGGTGGTAGGTGCCCACCTGCGGGGCAGATCCATTCAGCTGGTTGGCTGAATCCAGCCTGCAGGCTGTATTTTGCCTACCCCTGCCCTAGCTAGTAAAGTAAATTTTTCTGGACTTAAATCAAGGGGAAAAGCTTTTTCTTTAAATTTTAGTATCTTTCTTAAGGAAGCAAGCATATATAATTTTTAAAATGTAGGTTGGTTTTACCACTAGGCCTACAGACACTTTAAGAACAAAGGAAAAGTACTTGCTTTGTTTTATAGTTAAGAAAATGGAAATTAAGGTACTTTTAAATTGTGTGTATGGGTTTTTTGTTTTGTTTTGTTTTTTTAAGAACTTTATGCGTTCTTAAACATATTAACATACTACAGTCAGTAGAAGCTCCCTTTAAAAAAAAAAAAAAAAAAAAAAATCAAATCCAAGTCTGAGCTGAACTAGTGTGAAAACTTTTATCAGTGAAACTTTATTCACTTCCGGCCACTGTACTGTGGAGGTCTTTTGGGAGAGGTTAAAAATTTACACTCTGGGGAATTGTGCAATTATGCATCTGTGCAATTTTGCCCATACAAGGCATGACCATGCATACTTAAGTAATTTTGTATAATTTAACCACGGTGGGCTCCGTGTCTCTACCTCCATGACTCCATGATGTGGAAGCACAGAGCCATGTGACTGGACAGTTGGGTAAATGGGGAGGAGAGCTCCTGCCTGCGGGGTTTATGGGGTTTGTGGGTGGGTACGTGTTGTGCGCTGCCGGGTGTGCCAGTTCCATGCCCTCACATGCTGCTTCCAGCACTCCAGTGGGAAGCCACATGTGGAGGCATGGAGCCCACTTGGCCTGATGCTTATGCAGGAAAGTACTGTTGTTGCATTAACACCTTCTTAAATAAGGGGAAAGAGATGGATATCGCATGAAGATTGACCTATCTATAGGTCAGTTGCAAGCCCTTGGTGGTCTGTGGCCCACTAGTTTTTGGGAGTCTGCTGTAAAACCTTAATCGTTTTATATGAAATGGCTATGAAAATAAGGAGCTGATTCATTTGACTTTGTTTTTAGGTGGCAGTTTAGCTGATGCTATAAGTGAAAACTATAGAAATATGCGCTACTTTACTGAACCAGAGCTGAAAGATCTTCTACTTCAGGTAGCTCGTGGCTTAAAATATATTCATTCAATGTCTCTAGTACACATGGATATAAAGCCTAGTAAGTATATAACTGTTTCACTCTGAAGTTCTATTGACTGTTTCTTTTGGTCTGTTGCATAAAGTAAGAAGCCAGCCACACCTTAACTGTAGATTCTTTGAAAGCCTGAATGGTAGTGGAAAAGATATCATTGTAAAATTGGCTGGCATAACTGTATTCTTGTTGGGTTCATCTTAGGTCACTTTTTCTGGAGTGGAGTTTGTTGACTTGCCTAAAATTTTGGCTTCTGTCCCCTGGGGTGGTTTCACTCCTGTCTTATTCCAGGGACTGTGTATATAACTGAGTCTACTTTGGTAATAAATATCACTTTGAATGCAAATGAGGTAAAACTATAGATCTTTATTTTTATTCTAAAAACTTCTTCTTTTCCCTTTAAGGTAATATTTTTATATCTAGGACATCAGTTCCAAGTATGACATCAGAAGAAGGTGATGACGACGACTGCTCGTCTGACAGAATTATTTTTAAAATAGGTGAGGAAAATATTATGTGTGTGTGGCTGATGGCACATCTCACTCTTTTGTTCTCTGAAAAGTTAATTTCTCTTTACTATTTCTTGTAGGTGACCTTGGTCATGTAACTAGAATATCTAGTCCACAGGTGGAGGAAGGTGATAGTCGTTTTCTTGCGAATGAAGTCTTACAAGAGGTAACAACGCTGTCTTGCTAACTGCAGCTAAACATGTTAAGTCTGTACATCCTTGCTTTTATAATAACAATTTTGTGAACTACCTCACTTTGTAAAATTATAATTTTTTCCAATCAGATTTGTATCTGGAACAAGAATAATGTTGAAGGGGTAATGTACTTGGAGGGTGAACTTACACATGCAATTTAGCATGTAGCAATAAACTCGGGTGCAGTTCGCACTGGAGTTGATTGCTCCCAGCTACAATTTTTACACGTGTGCCTGGGACCACAACATGTTGAGCCATGGCAGAGCAGCACTAGGTGGCATGAGGCCTAGGGGATGCAGTCAGCCTGCCAGCCCAGGGCTGTTCTACCCAAGCTGTGTGCTGTGGAGGGGCTGGCTGTGGTACAAGAGTGGTTCAGTGCAGGGCTAGCTGGCAAGCAGCCCCCACACTAGTGCCCTTGTGCCCCAGCTAGCCCGTGTCACTGTTCTGGTGCACATAGCTAATTTGCTGTAGGATAGTACTTGTCCTGGACAGTACTGTCCTACGGCAGAGTTAATTAATTTACTGCACCCCAATATAGGTGCACATGTAGATGGTAACTTTACTGCAGAGCTAATTAGTCAGCTTTGTAATAAAGTACATGTGTAGATGCACCTGGAGAGACTTATAGTGCCGAGTAGTTTAATTGCACCTTAGAGTTGTTTGTTTTGGTGCCTTTTTTTTAAAGAAGGCTAAATCTTCTTTCTTTGCAGAACTACGCTCACTTGCCAAAAGCTGATATTTTCGCTCTTGCTCTAACTGTTGTGTGTGCTGCTGGTGCTGAACCACTTCCAACAAACGGAGACCGGTGGCATGAAATTCGACAGGGAAAACTGCCGAAAATACCACAAGTTCTTTCTCAAGAATTCTTGGAATTGCTGAAAGTAAGACTTGTTTATGCAAATGGTACCTTTTATTTTCTTGCTGTATTTGATACTGGATTTTAAATGCAACTGTTTCTTTGAAGGTAATGATTAGTCCAGATCCAGAAAAAAGACCTTCGGCAGTGGCTCTAGTCAAACATTCTGTTCTGCTGTCTGCTGCCAAAAAGAGTGCAGAGCAGCTGCGGATAGAACTGAATGCTGAGAAGTTTAAAAATTCACTCTTGCAAAAGTAAGTGACTAAAAAATATTGCTTATTGGATATAAGTAAGTATTGTGTCTTTGTCAGGTGGGGATGTGGCTGTTTTCACTGAATGCCCCAGCAAATGAGAGAGAGAAAAGCATGTTGTAAAGAAACTTTCATTCCTTTCCAGAGGCTTAAAAGAATAGGAGCACAGATGTTAAGGCCAAAAATAAGAGAAGTGCTTTGAATAATTTTCAGCTTCAGATTCCCTTTTTGAAGTCATATCTTTTTTACGTGTTAGATCTGTCTTTCAAAATTAGCAGTAGGCCAAGGATTTTATGGTGTTTTCCAGCATTTGAATCTCTTAGCTTTATAGATTTGATGCATGGTGACCAGAAATTTTAAGTGTGTGTTGGTGTTTGTCTTAGTTGAAGATTTTTCTTAGTTAATTTCCATGCATTCCATCTAGCTGAGCTCTGAGACTCCCTCTTCGATTTCATGTCTAGCCTCTGCTGTGATCTGCAGAAGTGCAGGCAGGCTTGCCATCTTGCATGGTTATCTTTTGTACTTTTCTTTAGGTGAACACTGTTTACTGCAGAATGGACCAGGTCTGGCAGCCTGTGCAAGCTTTTATTGAAGGACAGACTGAGGATTAAGACCATTCCACTGGTTCACATACAGAAAGCATATTGTGTTGCATGGAAACTGGGGGGAGAGTAGCTTTACTAGAGTCAGTTATTTTTATGGTGCAATTTCCTTGGTGTATTAAAAATAAAGACTATCTCAATGTTAACATGGCCGTGGCAAAATAATAGATAATATAAGTTTTACCATGGAGCCTGTGATTGGTTGTTGGCTGTCTTAAATGCACTTGTATAGCTGGTCCTTCAGCTGCATGCAAGAACTCGTCTATCCCCGGTAAATTTTAATATATTTCCTTAGGACATTTTGTATTGGAAGATAGATGTCTGAAGCAACACTTTTGTTTATTTTGGAGTTCTTTGAATAGGTCTAGAATAGAATAACCATCTCTGACATCCATTTTTTTGGCTTTTCAAGTGTTTGAAATCCTCCCAAGAAGCTGTTTGAAGAAACTAAAATATTAATGTGGTAAATAGTTGTGGATCAGATCTGTGTAAGATACAAAATGCAGAGTTAGGTATAAAAGACTAACTCTTTTACAAGTGCAAAATGTTAACCTGGAAAAGAGGGTGAGAAATAGAATGCAGTAATTTGTGGATGACTTTTTATATTGGTTAATATTGTGGAGAAAGAGTAAGTATTGGCAAATGTTACAGTGAAAGAAGCAAATAGTCTGTGTGTGGAAGGAATGAGATGGAGAATAGTGTTTAAAATTAGGTCATAAATCAGTGGGATGCTCTTTTCTAGTATACTCAAAACAACAAAATACCAAAAAACCCAAATAAAGTCATGAAGGATCATCATTGCATAATCTAGCCACCAGGCAATAGATTTTTACATAGTAATTTGTTCATCAAGACCATAACTTTTGTGTTGTTGAACTTTTTTAATTTTTAAAGGAGGTCCTGTTCACTCCACCTGAGAGAGGACATAGCAAAAATAGAAGAAATTCAGAGATGGCTGAAAGGAATGATCAGGGGCATATGAAATCTACTCAAAAGATTAAAGATTGAGAGGCAAGGATTTTTGTGTGTGGAACTTTTTTTATTGTAGAGATGTCAAACCTACCCCTGCTAGCTCAGGGGCGGGCAATTATTTTGGGTGGAGGGCCACTTACTGAGTTGGCAAGCCATCGAGGGCCACATGTTGGGCAGCCAGCGGCAGATAAAAGATTTAGCAAATTAATACTTAGGAGCTCCGCAGGCCAGATAGAATGGCCTGGAGGGCCACATCCGGCCCCTGGGCTGCATTTTGCTCACCCCTGCGCTAGCTGGACATGTTCATTGGATCCTTCTAAGCCACTTGCAGCCCAGTGGAAGCTGGTGATTTGACCAAGGGGAGTAGCCTGCTGCAGCATCTTGGGCCTGGGTGGATATGACCCTCCACAGCAGGAGGGCAAGTAACAAGAGCTATATCAGCCCTTGCCCTCCAGGACCTTTTGCCTGCTGTTGCTGCCCCATGCTGGACATGCTGCCACTGCTGCTGTATACCCCACGCCACATCTATGGAGCTGCCACTGTGGCATGGGACATGAGGTGTATACACCAGGAGCTGGAGTGGTTGCCCATTGCAGAACTGCCACTTGATATGCTCTAGGGGTTAAAATGAGTTTTTTACAACCTATTTTATTGCAACATCTGTAGAGCTGGGAAGGACGTAGACAAGCTTTCAGCTATTGCTGTACCCTTTTTCAGGTCTCTGAAAAAGAGGATGCAACAAAACTAAACAGTAAATGGAACAAAGGCTTGTGCAGAACTCTGGGTCCATTTAAAAAAACAGGATATAAGAGAAATTTATTAGGTGCCTAACAAGGGAGAGAGATTCTATGGTTAAGGATAACCTAAGTGAAAGAGCCAAGGCCATTTAACATGGTTGTTACAAAGGTTGAGACTTTGCTTCGTGGAGGAGGCAGATAAAGTAATACACAATAGCATAGATGAGGCATTACTACTAACTTTCTTGTGCTTTGCAAGATCAAAGGGACATTTGATTAAACTGAAAAATAGCATATTTAAAACCAAATGCCTATCATAATGCACATATAGTCTGTGGAATTCTTTTGCTTTATATTGTTGAGTCTGAGACGGAGAGCTTAGTAAGGTTTAAAAACGGATAGAGCATTTCTTATGGAAAGTGACAGCACCCAGTTTTTTAGTAAGAATTTCACACACAAACATCTTTACGAAGAAGGAAGATTTCTCCCTTCTAGAGTAAGCTGAGATACTGGACTCTCACCCTGTATTTGGGTTACTCTGTAGCTACTTAATAGCAGAGTTTTTGTTTAAGTTCCTCCAAAGCAGGCATTTCTTGAGATGGGATTCTAGACCCAGGAGGCTTTTCGTTTTGTCCAGCATGGCAACTTTTTTTTATTTTTTCTTTATCGGCTTGGTCTTGCAGTGTAGTCAAAGTTGTACGTGTTGAGAAGGCACCAAGAAGGGAAGATAATATTGGCTTCCTTGGGCTAATTCACCATTTGATAGCCTTCCTTGTGGGTGCTTGTACTTTCTGTTACTGGAATTTTCTGCAGAGGTCTCAGCAGTGACTGAACACTAAATCTCTACACTTAGTACACTCTCTGAAAAGGGTTTGTGATGAGTACCCCTCCTTCTAACAACTGCTCTCTAGATGATAACCACAAATATATATAGGTTGTAACTGAAGTACAAAAAAACAAACAAAAATAACTTTGATTCTCCTAACATACTTATGTTTAGATATAGTCCTACTCGCTATACTGGATAGAAAATCCTGATTGATTTTTATCTTTTGCAGAGAACTGAAGAAGGCACAAATGGCAAAAGCTGCAGCAGAAGAGAGAGCGTTATTCACTGATCGAATGAAAACTAGATCTACATCCCAGAACAGAACATCTCGACTCATTGGGAAAAAAATGAATCGCTCAGTTAGTCTTACTATATACTGAACTAATCAATTCCTAAAGAACTGTTGAAGAAAGGCCACAAAATCTTCCTGGACTGAGTTTTTTTTTCAGGAGCTGAAGGAAGGGTTCAAGTTCTGGCTTCTTGTCCAGTCTTCAATCAGTGTCTTATTTTACAGAAATAGCTTCTAGTTTTTTTAACTGCAAAATACAGCTGATGGCTGTATTAAAATATTGAGGTAGTGGACTCTATCTGGTCTATTTGAGGACCTTAGTGTTAATCCATAGGCTATTCAGTTACACTGTTAGATGTTACACCGTCCCAGGGTTAACCACTATGGTGGTCTGCTGCTTTTTAGTGTTACAGCATTGTAATAAAAGGTATTTTTCTAACAACCTGTAAAAATTAAAATGGGGGGTGAGGTGCTTCATTGTAAAGTAGAGTGTCTCTGTCACAGAGGGAAGAAGTTTGGAGGAAACTGGCTTAAGGCCACCCACACTCAATATACCTGAAGTCAGGTAAACTTTTATTGTGAATTTTATTTGTATATTCAACTGGGAGCACTTTGTAGGCATTGCAAAAACCATGGGACCCCAAGCCTGTGGAAAAGTATGTGCCATGTGAAACTGCTGCTATTAGTTTTTGTCTTTGCTGTAAACATGTAGCATTAAAACAATCATTGTAGTGTTAATAGGCTTTCTGTTAAAACAATTATGTGGGGGGTGGGAGAAAACCCTAAGCTGCATTTAGTGAAAGCAGCATTTTTCTTTGAAGCTAGTGCACTATGAACTACATCAGTGCACCAATTTTTCAAGTCAGATTCTTTGTATTAGTGTAGTGCAATCGTTTAATGCCTCACCTTGAATGTTTTTTTGTAACTTTTTTTCTAATAAGGTTTTTTTAAATGTTGGGGTTTATCCTCCTCTTCCTTCCTCCATTCCGTTTCATGGGGTTTTTTTGTTTGTTTGTTTGTTTTTTTTTGTGGCAAATTACATATTTTTATGTTGGAGTTCTTGTACATAATTGTATTATTTAGTGTATGTGTTCTGGCTGTTCTTCCTTGATGTTCATGTACATAATTGTTTGGTCTTGCTCATAGTATACTATACTAAACTGCAGTCAGTGCCAGCAGGAGAAACTTAACTGTTCCAATTTTAAGTTCTGAACTGAATAAAATTTGACTGTCTAATCACTTGCTCTGATATCGTTAACCTGACGTTGTCAAAATGGAAATTTCTGTTTTGCTTTTGAAACAATAGTCCCCATTTGTGTGTTGTTCTTAATGGCATTGAATTGGAATATTAAAGGTCAAAGGTTGAGTTAACGGTCTAACTCTTTATTTACAGTCAAACTAGTATTTTAAAGTATATTGAGGTAGGTTGTGACTTAGACTGCCCTCCTCCCTAATTTCATTGGTACCACTCCCACTGCAGAGTGAGACTGAAATTCAGCATAGTTGTTTAATGGTCTGCTTCATCCCCTTTTGCCATCCACAACAGTTTGACGAATGGCATTTCAAGGGTGCAGTCAGTTTGTGGGGATGGAGGTGGCTGTTTCTGTGAGGATACTGAACCAGACAACGCTGACATAATTGTAATTCTCTTGAGGTGCACTTGCATTCTTACTACACAGAAAGAATGGCACTTTATACATGTGTAGTACTACCCTTTAGATAAGAGGTTTGAATGAAATGGGTATAGAATCAAAATTTTAAAGCACTGTTTCTTAGGAATTGAATCGCTTCGTATAAATGTTTTCTGTGTGTAGGTGCATGAAGTGCAAAAGCTAAGATGCAAGGTTTTAATTATAGAGGTAATTAGCATGAAAATGGCAAAGTTGCTTGTTGCAGGTGACTAGTTCTAAAAGGATGGTGATTTTTAAAAGTTTACTATAACAAAGCAACTGCCAAAGCCTGGAATATGCAATAGACTTCTGTTCTGAATAATTTGCTGGCATTTTTCTACGTTTTGAGGATAATTGAGTCAATAGAGGGAATAGAGATTACTGGTAACATACAGTACTCGTAGAAGTTATCTATCACAGCTCATTTTAATATTTCTTTAAATTATAACTGTTTACCTAAATCTTAGGGAGAACTTGTAACCTTATGTTATTTGGAACAGTACCATTTTAGTGTTACACAGTTATTTTCAGACATCTGCCGTGTCAGTAACACCTTTTTTACTCCCTCATTTTAATTTGCTGTCATCAGTGTTGGATGACTGCACATGCTTTGAAGTGTTTACTGTTCATTACTATGCCAACAAAATTATTATAACTTGTTATCACGTGTGTGTTTCATGTAGTCTGCAAGAAAAGTTGCAGAGGAGTGTGGGGACTTTTTTTTCCCTGCTAGGCCAGCAGTTGCAGACCACAGTCGGATATTTTCTTGTGAAGGATTGTCTACCTTATCTTGGTTGTGAGGGATATTTTTAGGCATGCATGTGTACATCTTTCTCCCTCTCCACTATAAAATTGGGTTTCCATCTATGCTATACAATTTCAGTCTCCAAAATGTATGCTAATTTAGAAAACTGCCCAAGAAGCAAGTAAAATTGGGCTCTATGCATCTAGGATCAAACACACTTTTTTTTTTTTATAAATTTTTTGCAACAAAAATATTTGGACATTTCCCATTACTTGCCGTGTTCTCTGTCCTACAAGAGTAGTATGTAACGTTGATATAAGTGAACTTTCTTTCTGAGGTGTATCAGTAAGTGGCCTATATCTAGGGTGATCATACATCCTGGTTTGGTTGAGACCAGTCCTGGATTTTGTAGGCTGGTCCTGGCTGGTTGGTGAAAAATGAAATAAGTACCAGAATTGCAGGACTTGTGACAGAGCTCCCCAAGCAGTGCAGAGCAGCAGGGATTGCCCCCCCACCTGGCAGCAGCTGGTGAGTTGGGTGTTTTTTGTTTTTTTTAAAGGGCTGGGAGCTGGGGTGGGTGGGGCAGCCATGGTGGGGAGGGGCTGGGAGAGCAGGTAGGGGTCAGGGGCCTCATGAGAGGGCCCCCCAGGTAGCATGTGGCAGTGGTGATCACCACCACTCCCCTGCCTGGCAGCAGCTGGGGAATGAGGGCTTTTTGGTGATTGACTTGTCACTAATGGTGTCTTACTGATGCTTTGGCAATAGAGACCTTCCTAAAAATGTGCGCACCTTGCATGTAAGTAAACTGTTACTTGCAACTCAATATTCTCACTGTCCCTTCTTAGATTAAGGCCAGAAAAGAAATATTTTAAACTACTCTGGTCTCCAAAATACAAAGCATGCAATTTTTAATCCATTAAGTCTTGCATCAAATTCATATCTTGTTAAGCTATAGTGTTTCTTTTAGAAAACTGTTTGTAATATCTTGGGTTTTATTTATTTATTTATTTATTTTTTTAAAAGATTTGCTAAGAATTCCCGTCGTCTTTCCCCTCTCCTTGAAAAGGTGTTTGTTTCACTGAAAAATGTGCATCTAAGTTGTTTTTGTTTTATTGTCCAAATTTTTGTATTGACTGTAGTTTTCAGGTATTTAATACTATTTTACACTTGCCTACTAGACTGAAGGACTGAGAAGATGGTCCGTGTGTGAAAGATTGAATGAACATTTGATTTATCAACTAGGGTGACTTTATACCCCGCTGTCAATTTCTACTTTACAAAATAGTCCCTATCACAAGTGTGACCTGTGTTCTTGAGTCCTAGACATTGGATCTTTTATTTGGCTGTATTAATATATATGTTGATCAAAAAAACCCAGTTTAACAAGCAGTTGCGCTAGGACTGGCTGGTCTTTTTATGATCTCCTCCATTTGGTGCAAGCTGTCCCCTAAGCCAATTTACCAACAAGGATTGAGTGATTTGTTTCCAGTATACTGATACATGTAGGATAGCCTGGAGCAAAGGATAGGTCCCTGTGGGACTCCAATATAAATTATTAATAGGATGTGAAAGGCTAAAAAGTTAAACATTTAACCAGTTATCACTGCATGTATTGGTTATCTTTTAGCTGGGGGCTGGCCCAATCTTGGAAGGGAAGCCCCCAGGTGCCCCAGAAGGGCAGGCAGGAAGGAGAGGAGAAAGGAAAAAGGAAGTTGCTAGGGACTGAGGGGAACTAGCACTCATAGCCTAAGAGGAAAACCAGCCAGCAGCCTAATGATTCATCAATTAAGCAGTTAGCTGCTCATTCACAGGTGCTCCTTCCTTCCTCCCCTGCCAGCACCGAGCTTCAGGTGGGCTATGTTGTCTAGCTGGGCTTGCCCCTTCCACTCATTCAAAGAGCCCCTGGAGAGGCTCCCAGCAACAGCTGTGTCCAAGCTGTTGTGTTCTCAATTAACCTAGAGGAGATTAAACAAATTTTTTTTTTTTTTTTTTTTTTTAAAAGATGTATTTACATTCCTAACGCTTAGGTGAGGACAACTTGTCTTTTGAGAGTTATGCTAGCTATACTAAATTTTGCTACATTGAGGAATAACTTAATGCTCACTTTTTAATTGGAGTATCAAGTCAAATGTCTTGTGGAACTTTAAGTGTGTAGTATTACACACTTAAAGTGCAGTTTTTTTTGTGATTTCTTAGTTGGTCTAATAAAAGGTGTCACATCTTAGCCAAGAGTTCTAGAGTTTTGCATAGTATTACCACAAAACTTAGTCTCAGACCATATGCAGTTTGTTTCTTTGGAAAGATGTAGCTTCCATAAAACTGTTCGGTTGTATTGGCTATACTGCTGTCCTTCAGTTTTAATGTATTGTATTCCATGTCAGTAGATGCCACACAAGGAGCATTCATATCAAGGTCCCTCTTAGGTTCTATGATTCTGCAAATCCTCTTGAAAGCTTGTTTCTGCCACCACCACAGATGCTGTCAAGCGAGTCATTGTCAGGTGTGTAAAAAAAAAAAAAAAAAAAAAAAAAAAAAAAATGTTCATCAGGGCTGGCAATGGCAATAATATCTGTAAATGTTAAAAGGATCTCAGCCATCAAACAAGAAATCACCAAACTACTAATTTCAAGTGCCAAGTCTACAGGAGACAGCAAACTATAAACAGCAACAACACTCAGATCATGAACAATGTAGCAGTGTAATGTTAGTGAATCCTTTCCTTGTCACCACATCAGTCATCTGTGACCTTGTCTCTAAGAACCTGGGCCCTAGGATTTGCCTAACTTTGAAAGAATGTAGTGTTTGAAAAAATAATGGTGGAAGTATGTGAGAAAATCCTGTGTTATGATTTTGGCTAAGAGCCAATGGCAAGTTAAGTAGCCTGATGTTACTGCAGGGGCGGGCAATTATTTCGGGCAGAGGGATGCTTACTGAGTTTTGGCAAGCCATCGAGGGCTGCATGACAGGCAGCCAGGGGCAGATGAATATTAATTTTCTAAATTTTTTAGGGGCCCTGCAGGCTGGATAGAATGGCCTGACTGGCCACATCTTGCCCACATCTGTGTTACTGCAATCACTCTATTTAAACCTTTTTAAACATCAGAAACTCAGCTTTTTTCCCAGCGTTCTGGAATTTCCAAAGTATCTTAAGATTTTGGTAAACATTAGCTTCAAAAGTCCAGAGAGCCCCTCAGGTTGAATCAGTTCTAGGAAATGAGTTGTCAGTTCCTGTTGACTTTTAAAAAAATGTTTAACTTTAACTTAGTAAAAAGTTAGAGACATATACTAAATTTAGAATTGAATGTGTTTAATTATCACTGTTATCTCTTTTCCAACTACATAACTGAAATCATGATAATTCTCCTCCTTTTTCTGCATTCTTGACATGTAAAAATGTCTGCTGCTAGCCTTTAAATTTATTCTGAATAAGATGAATCATACCTTCTTATTCTTAATTCTTTTTTACAATTTTTTTTTTATTGAGGCTTTTCACTGGAGCGTCCCTTAGCAACTGAAT